CCGAGGTATAAAACAGTGTGATCTCTTTTACAATCCACCTGACATCACTATTAAAACCCCCCAAGTGGTTGTGGAATTTGGGGGATTTATTTGTTTCCCCAGAGGTGCTAAGTAGATACTTGAAAATATCACAGGGTGTGGGTGGCTCTTTTCTATGTCAGTCTAAAATAAATTTGTCCTTTTTGATGTTTTGGTTTTATGGGATTTTTTGGGTTGTTTGTTTCGTTTGAGGCCAGCTGATCATCTTGAGGTTATATTTGTAAGTGTGAGAACCTTTTATGGAAAAAATGCTTTTTGCAACAGTTGTAGGCTAAAAATAGCAGTGGAAAATTTTTGTAGCAGAAAATAATATCCCTTCATATATGTATTCCATTTTGGAGAGTTTTTTTAATGACGTATTTTGAAAACTTATTTCTCATGTTTGTAATCAAACTGATTAGTTCCTGAATAAGAATGTACATAATCTTATTCAACATACTTAAACATAAAGCATTATATTGGTTTAATAAGTTTTGCCATCTTTGTATGGGCTTTTTGTCCTCAGACTATAATATTTATAGAACTGTGTAGCAATGCACAAGAAGCAGCTTTTAATATATTTCTTCTTTTGAAAGGTTAATAAACAAGGTTCTTACTCAGAGTAATCCCTTTTTAGTATATAAAACTCATTTTTGAAAATCAACAAAATAATAATGAAAATTGAAAAACAAAACCCAGTAATTTATAAAAAGATAACAGTGAATCATCCCTTGCCATGTGCACAATTATACATATTGCTTCTCTAAAATAGAACTTTATTTTAGATCCCATGTGATTATAATGCATTTTTAAGTATATTTAAGATATTAGTGTATTTGATGTTTCTTTTTTGTTAACAAAAGAATATTTCTCTAAAGACACAGTTTTTGCTTTTTATTTAAGTATCTTTCATCATTAGAGAAAGAGGATATTTTAAAAATGGGAATCTGTATATTCAAATATCCAGTCATCCTTCTAGTTCTGTGGAGGACTGGTCAGTCCCAGAACTCCCAGGGACGCTCAAGTCCCTTGTAAGAATGTCCCTTGTGTATTATCTACATATAACCTACACACAGCCTCCCTGTACCTTAATTCCCCTCTAGAAGGTTTATAACACCAATGCAATGTAAGTACAATTTAAATAGTTATATGAAATTGTTTAGGGGATCATGACAAGAAAAGGCTGTCCATGCTCAGTACAGCTGCAGTTTTAAGTTTTTAATCCATGGATGATTGAGCCTGAAGTTATAAAACTCAGTAACCTGGAGGGATGACTGTAATTGATCATGCCTGTAAAGTGTTTAACTTCTGTGTACTTCCTATCAGTTATCCCCATTACTAGTAATTAATCCGAAGTGCACGGTGTTTGATGAACTTGCCACTCTGCTCCCCTCTGCTTCCCTCCTCCTGGCTCCCTCTTTCCTTACACAACGCCCACAGAAAATATGGTGCTCTGTACATTGGAGATTAGCTGTCTATTTTTAAATGTGAAAGCACACCACTTAAATGTTTTCTTGATAGACAAGGAACAAGCATGTAGTTTTTTTAATGGAAAAGAAGATCTGTTCCATGACTGTATAGAATTCATTTTCACATGTTTTATTCTTTGATAACTGGCCATCTGTCATCTCATGAGTCTGAAATGAGGCAACTGTCCTCTGCAGCACAATTTAAAGTTGCCTTCCTACTTCCTTGATAAAAAGATACTTAATTTTCTTATTTGTGATAAGCCTTTTTTTTTCATTTGGAATGAAAAAAAATTGTCAGATTATTGAGGACATTCTATAACAGTTATAGTCTTAAACCATAACTAGATTTTTAAGAAATGAAAATGTACCTTTGAACTAACATCTTCACAATCATATAGCTTTCACTTGGACTCTTAAATGGCAAAATATATTATTTCCAAACCAAAAGTGTAATCCCTTTCCAATGTTTTTGGCATTTGAAGATCTGATTATATATCTTTTGGTCGATGGTGATGGAGCATCCGTTTCTGCCTAGGCAAAATCCTAAGTTCTGGGTGAGAGATAATCAGATAAATTTAGAAGCTGGCTGACATTCTTAGTAGGCTGCTTTGTGTTTTTCAAACTGGCCCCATCTTCTTAGATTAAAAAAAAGTTGTATCTGTCACATAGTTTCAGGCAGAACTTGAAATGAGGCTGAAAGGGCATTGGCAGCTTCCTGATCATGCACACACACACACACACACACACACACACGCTCACCTGCACACACCCCACGCAGAGCTGTCTCAAAGCCTCTGTTTTGTGCTGTGGGGGAGGTGAGCAGAGTGCTCCATTTCTACAAGCTCAGGAATAGGAGGAATGGTTCAGAGTCACCAAATTAAAGTGAACGCCACATGCCCTCATTTTCTCCACTTCTAAAACTAAAATGGAGGGGGTCCTTTGTCAGTCTTAATACGAAATAAACCTAAGTCATTTCCAAAGGCTTGGCAAGCAGGCATAGTTCAGAGGGCCAGTGCACTCACTGCTCTGGGCAGCACATGCCTGGCGCTACAAGGGGGCTCCAGTTTGGTTTACCGGGAGACTTCTCCAAGCAGACATTCACACACCCAGCTGTGGCTTCACTTGTCACAAACTAAAGGTCAAGCATTGTATGATAGAAAATTTAGGAGAACTTTTAATGGTTTTTTGTTTCCTCCCACTTGGCTCATTTTCAGCTTCTAAGTGAAAGGCTTAAAAGGTTTTTCTTCTTTGTATCAATGAAACTTTCTGTCGTGTCTTTTATTTCAGCTGGAATAGCATTAACAGAGCAAATGATATTCTAGCACTGGGAAGAATTGAACCAGTATAAAGGCGTAGCAGATTTTGTTAGGATATCTAAAGACAGGATAGTCCGATTCACTCACTTAGCCTGATGTGCTGATTTAAATGATTGCACATTAGAACAGCTAACGTTTATTAAGCATGTAGCAAGCACCAAAGTAGTAAAGTAACAATCTAGATGTCCTTGGTAAATTAATGATCAAAATAACCATGTTTTCTGAATATTTGAGGCATATCTGAACATTCAAATATGTTTAAATATTAACAGTTTTGGAGAAAATGTTTCTGAAGCATAATACCTACCTCTACCATGTTTTCTTTAATAGACTATACTAGATATTATATAACTGTTTTATTTATGCCTTTATTCAGTGAAAAATATAGGCATACCTCAGAGATACTGCAGTTTGGGTTGCAGGCTACCCCAATAAAGTGAATATTGCAGTAAAGCATATCACAGGGTTTTTTTTCCCCAGTGCATATTATTTTTATTCTACACTATATAAAGTGTACAATAGCACTGTGTCTGAAAAAACATGGTTCATACCTTGATTTTAAAATATTTTATTGCTAAAAGATTCTAACTACCTTCTAAGACTTCAGTGAATCCTAAAGTTTTGCTGGTGGAGGGTCTTCCCTGGATGCTGATAACTGCTGCTGATCAGGTTGGGCACTCTGTGGCCGTTTCTTGAATAAGTCAACAATGAAGTTAGATGTCTTGATTAACTCTTCCTCTCATGAAATATTTCTTGGTAGTGTGGGATCTGCTTGGCAGCATTTTACCCACAATAGAACTAATTTTGAAATTGGAGTCAATCTTCTCAAACCTTTCCACTCTTTATCAACCAAGTTTATTTCTTATTCTAAACCCTTTGTTGTCATTTCAACAGTGTTCACAGTGTCTTTCCAGGAGTAAATTCCATCTCAAAAAAACCTTTTTCGCTCACCCATAGGAAGCAACTCCTTATGTGTCCAAGTTGTGTCGTGAGAGGGCAGTGGTTTAATCACATCTGCAGGCTCCACTTCCTATTCTGGTTCCTTGACATTTCCACCGCATCTTCAGTTACTTCCTCCACATAAAGTCTTGAGCCCCTCAGAGTACAAGTATTTGGAATCAACTTCTTCCAACTCCTGTTCTGTTCACATTTTGTCCTCCCCCCAGGAATCATGCATGCTCCTAGTGGAATCTGGAATGGTGAATCCTTTCCAGAAGGTTTTCAGTCTGCCTTGCCCAGGTCAATCATAAGAATCACACCTATGACAGCTGTAGCCTTATAAAATCTATTTCTTAAATAACAAGACTTGAAAGTCAAAATCTCCTCCTTGTCCCGACACAGAGTGAGCACACATTGTTGGGAAAACAGTGCCGGGAGACTTGCTCAACCCAGGGCTGCCACAGATCTTTAATTTGTTTAAAATGCCTTATCTGAGTTAGGCACAGAAGTGCACACCTGTAATCCCACCTACTCAGGAGGCTGAGGCAGGAGGATTGCAAGTGCCAGGCCAGCCTAGACACCTTGGTAAGATCCTGTCTCAAAATTTAAAAATTTTTAAAGGGCCAGGGACATAGCTCTGTGGTAGAGGGCACCTGGGTTCAATCCCCAGTACTGTGCAAAAAAAAAAAAAAAATCCCCAAAACACAGACACACACATATACACACACAAATGTGTTATCTGCAAAGAGCAATAACATGATGCACAATCAAATGAGGAATGCCTGTACTTACCAAAGCACCTACACTAAAACTAGGGACACAGTCATAGAAGTGGACAGAGTCCCCACTGTTATGAAAGTATGGTCTAGTATATCAGAATATTAAACTAAAAATACAGAGATGATAAGTGCCAGGAAGGGAAAGCAAGCCAGGCTGGGAGAAAACATGAAAAGCTCTAACTTCAGTTGGGTAAAGGGCTAGGGTGGTGTCTCTAGAGGAGGAGGAGGGGGTTGGTAGGTGGGCTGGAAGGGGGGTTGTAGAGGAAGTGGCAGGCAGACTCAAGCCAAAGGAAAAGAGACATGTGCAGTCGAAAAATGCCTCACCCAACATTGTAAAATGGAAAAGTATAAAAAAGTATAAAATATACATTGATATGCAGCCCCAAAACCCTCCCTGTGAGCCCTCTCCCTGTGCATGATGTGCTCCATGAATGGGATCACAGATCCTCTGACATTTCAATAAGAAACCAACTGAAGTATTGGTATCTTACAGAATTTATTGTTCACTGATGAAAATGATAATTTGGAAATTAAAGTTATCGATTTCGGGTTTGCTCGCCTCAAGCCGCCTGACAATCAGCCCCTGAAGACCCCGTGCTTCACCCTTCATTACGCAGCCCCGGAGCTCTTGAATCACAATGGCTATGATGAGTCCTGTGACCTGTGGAGCTTGGGTGTCATCTTGGTGAGTGTCATAGAAGAGCCACTAAACCTGGTCAATTCTTAGGTGTCCTCTGTAATTTTCTCTCTCTGTTGTTTTTCTTGAATTCATTAAAAAAAAAAGAAAAATGGCCAATTAGAAGGCCTATCAAAGAATATGTCCCTTTCTTAAAACTTACATTAGAGAAAATGTTGGAACTGGGTTTATTTTAAAATATTTAAGTTACCTATTTCATATGAATGAGTTATGTTATTTTTTAAAAGAAGCATGAATGTATTTTTATAAGACATATTGGATATAATGTGAAAGTAGCAGAGTGACTCTTTAATACAAAAACACTTCAAGAGCTTATGTGAGACTTCAGACTAAAAATGTAATTAAAGAAAATCATTTAGGATAAGTTAACAAATTAATAGATCAAACTAGAAATATTTGTGGTAATTTATAGCAATTGTGGTGAGCATGCTTTTCACCAAATGTGCCTAGAAGATGTAATCAGAAAATAAACATTAAGCGGGAAAAAAAATCTCAGAATTTTTTTTGCCTCAAAATAGCTTTACTTTTTCTGCATGTAGTGCATAGTACATGATCTTAGAGGGAAATTTTGAGATATTACAGAAAGATGCAAGAAACAAAGTGAAAGTTGCTCATAACCTTTCCACTCAAAGATGATGTTGAGCAAGCTTCCTTCGCCCTCAGTCCCCCGCTGCACATGTCCCCCAGCTGCAGTGTATCTTGTATGTTTTTATATGTGTATGTGTATGGAATTTTTAAAATATTTTTTTAGTTATTGTTAGACCTTTATTTTATTCATTTATTTTTATGTGGCACTGAGACTCAAACCCAGTGCCTCACACATGTCAAGCCAAGCACTCTACCCCTGAGCTACAATCCCTGTGTATGGACTTTTTAACAAATGGGATTATATTATACATGTAGTTCGAGTCTGTGAAATTTCTTTTAAATATTTCTTTAATAATTATCTGTTAGCATTTTCCATTTTTTCACTAATTATAAACTACACAAGTAAATATTTTGCACATTATGTTTGCATTTTTCTCATTATTTCCTTAGGACAGATTCCTAGGGGACGGTAGGTGCATCTTTATTTCAACATGGATGCCTAGATTCCCTGTTAGAAGATTCACCAAGTTATGTTCCCATCAACTGTATGAGAGAACATTGAATGCTGTCCATATCAATCTTAAATTAGTCCCTACTGTTCTTATAATTAGCATGTATTTCTTTGATGAATATTCACTCTCAGCATATTTTCATGTTTTTGGACATTTGTATTTTCTCAGTTATAAATTGTTCCTTATGAGCTTTGCCCATTGGTCTATGGGGAGATTTTTTTCTACTTAATCTTAAAGGTCTGTTAAGGATTTTAATCCTTTGTCTGCCATCAATATTGGATATATTTTTCTAGTTTACCCTTTGTTTGAAATCTTTGTTTATACGCTGGGGCTGCAGCTCAGTGGTAGAGCTCTTACCTAGCACATATGAGGCACCAGGTTTAATCCTCAGCACCACATAAAAAAAATAAATAAAGGTATTGTGTCCATCTACAACTAAAAATATTTTTTAAAAGAAAACTTTGTTTATAGTAATATGGAATTCTGATTTTGTTTTTAGAGAAGTTTATAAATAGAGAAGTTTTTTCCTGATGTGTCAGCCTTTCCCTATGTGGTGTGTGGCTTTGATGTCAGGCTGTCACTCCATCCCTGCCCTCATCCCAAGATTTTAAAAGTAGTCTCCTAAATTTCCTCCAGCATTACTCTGTTTTATTTTTATGCCTCAATCTGTCCTCCATCTGGGGTTTATTTTGGTGTCAGTTGTTCTCCCCCAATGGCAGCCACTTGTCCCTACAGGATGGTTCTTCTTTATTTTAAGCTTTATTTGGTTTTCATCTGAGCACTTTTAAATCATCATTTATCATTGTCAAACTAATGTACTTATGAATAAGGTTATTTTTAGTAAAAATAAGTAACTCTAGGGCTGAGGTTATGGCTCAGTGGTAGAGCACTTGCCTGGCACGTGGGAGGCACTGGATTCAATCCTCAGCACCACATAAAAATAAATAAAGGTATTATGTCCATCTACAACTAAAAAAGTTTTCAAATAAACAACTATAAACAATTGTAAAAACAAATCTACTATAGGTTTGAAGAGTTTTATGGACTTAAATTGATGGCATGTTCATTAGCAGCAATGTCTTTAAAAAATTGATGAAAATAAAAAAGAGCTTTTGATTTCTAGTATCACTTTTCTTTTCCATTGGAAAAAGAGACTTCCATTAAATCTAGGCCAGTTGTGACCAGCAAACTCTTAAGGTTTAAGAGTCTTAGATGTGCAGAGAGGTATCTTAGAGCCCAAGTGTTATTTCTATGAAAGCAACTTTCCATAGGGCATGGATGGAAGCAGTGCTGCCCCCCTAGATGGGATTATCAAATTTTAAGAAAAATAGGATATAAAACAGGGTAAGTGATAGCAGAGGACAGTCAAAATGTCCAGACTGTGGGCAATTTAGAAACCACCTTTTTTTTGTAGTTTCCATTTCTTATAATATCCGTGTTTTTCAGTTATAATTGAGTGTAACTACAGTGTGTATCATGCCTACATCTAACATGATACTAAATTTGATCTTGATCTTTATTTTCCTGGGAAGGCTTACTGATGTTCTCATGAGGGAATATTGTTGGTACCGATTGACTCTGATGAGCTGTTATAAATAATCTTGAGTGGATATGTTTATTCATATAATTTTCATAGTCTTTGGATTGGGGGTGTTAATGTCTCAGAAATGAGATTATAGGGTTGTACTTTTAGTCATATCCAACTTGCTTGATTTTTATTTATTAGTTTTGAGGTGTTACAATCTTTTTTTATTTGTTCTTTTTAGATATACATGACAGAGTATATTTTGACATACATACATGGAGTATAACCTAAAAAAAGTATTCTCAATACTTTTGTTTGTTAATTACTCAAATTCTAATCAGGATCCCATTCTGCAGTTGTACATGATGTGGAATTTCACTAGTTATGTATTCATATACGAGCATAGGAAAGTTATGTCAGACTCATTCTACTGACTTTCCTATTCCTATTCCCCTTCCATTCCCTTCATTCCCCTTTGTCTAATCCAATGAGCTTCTGTTGTTCCCTCCCCGCTTATTGTGTGTTAACATCTGCATATGAGAACATTCAGCAGCCCACATCTCAAGCAAGTAAATTATAAGAAAAGATAACTTGGGAACCTACAGATTAAAAGACACTTGAGCAATAATGTTTACATTTTACTTGAATCCTGATTCAAGCAAAATCAAAATTCTGTGTATTGAATTCAAATTCTAAAAGTAATTCATACAGATGTTATTAAAATATATATATATATATATATATATATATATATATATATATATATATATAC